CCTTCCTTCCTTCCTTCCTTCCTCCCTCCCTCCCTCCCTTCTTTCCTTCCTTCCTTCCTTCCTTCCTTCCTTCCTTCCTTCCTTCCTTCCAGAATGCTGATGGTTTTCTATACCCACTAATGGCTTTGCAACCCACAATTGGAAAACCCACTGTTCTCGTGCAGAGGTCACAAGCTCAAATATCTCTACTGGCCTGGCAGGTGAGCCAAGACAGACAGGTACTTAAAGAAATTGCAAGAACATAGGTAAATGGCAATGGACCCTCAGCCCCAAAGTTTGGGAAACAGCTGCCCTTATGGCAGCGATTCCTCAGCGATAACAGAGTCCCTGCTGGCTCCTTACCTCTGCCTCCACCCCCACTGGCTCCTGCCTTGCCCCTTCTCCGGAGGAACTAGTGGGTGGCAGCTTCAGGGCAGGTCCCTCACCCACCAGGCTTTCCCAGGAATCATTCTCTGGTACAGGACATTTTCCACATCCCCACCTTCCCTTCCTGCTTTGAGGGTTTGAAGGGACTGTGCTTCATGGTAGGAAAAATGAAACTCAGTATCTTGAACCACAGGTTAGAGCCTCCTCAAATCTGAATGTTACTAGCCCCAACTCCACGGCAGAGAGCTGGCAAGAGGAAAGCGAAGGACAGATCTTGGAGGGAGAGATCACCACGGTTGAACACACCGTGGGCTCTTCCACCTTGTCGACAATCAACTCGACCATCGTAACAACAAATACCACTCTTGGAGCCACCACTGAGCCCTTCATCTTGTCCACCATTCCGCCCATCCTGCCCACTACTGGGCCCTTCTGCCCAGAGCCTGACACTTCCTGCTCTGACTTGGAGACTCCTTGGGCAGAGTCCAAGTTGAGGGAGGCTTTGATAGACTTCTCTGTGAAGCTCTACCATGCCTTCTCAGCGACGAAGAAGGCAGAGACCAACATAGCCTTTTCTCCATTCAGCATTGCCAGCCTCCTAACCCAGGTCCTGCTTGGTAAGAACCTAAGTTCTCTCCAAGTTGTATGTTGGACCCTCCCGTGAGGGTCCCCAACCCAGATGCCTACAAAGCCATGCCTTGGGGAGAAGGCTATAAAACTGGGCTACGTTTGGGGGGAGGGTGAGCATTCATTTATTCCTTCATTTAACAGTGATTTAACGGGCACCATTGCTCACAAACCCCCACGGACTACACAGGAACATAGAAAACAGGGTCCCGGTCCCCAGCCATGTGTCAGGGTAAGGCAACAAGGAAGATGAAACCATAAGCGAAAGACAGAGGGTAGAATCCTGTAATGCTGCTTACTGGCTGTGTGACCTTGGCAGGTTACTTAACTTCTCTGAGGCTGAGTCCTCAGGTGTGAAATGGAGATGGTTGTACTTACTTCAAAGAAGAAAGTGGAGAGTTTAGTGCCTGGCTTAGAGGGAGGTCAAAAAAATGTTAATCCCCTCCCTTCCTGAGAGATGTCGTTAAGTCCCATGGGATAAACCTCTACCTACACTCTCCAGTTAGGACAACCAAAACTGCCAGATGTCCCCTGGGAGGCACATTTCAGTTGATTGGCTTTGGCAAATTTCTTTATTGCCCAGAATGTATGCCTTGAATCTTGTCTCCCTTCTCCACTTAACTCTGTGATGATCTTGAGTAGAGTAGATCACTTAATCTCTTAAGCTTCAGTTTGCTTGTCTGTAAATAGGGAGAGTAATTACCCTTCTGTGAAAGGGGTTATTGTGGAGATTCAGTGAGCTAATATATGGGAGGATCACTTGTGATGCCTGGAACCAAGTAAGTGCTCCCATAAATTTTGTCTATTGCTGCATGGAAGATGGGCACAATAAATATTTAATAATGAATAACTGAAAGGGTATTGAGCATCTATCCTCTTTTGTGAGCCTCTGATTTCTCCTCTTGATAGTGAGCTAGAGTCCCTGCCTAGACGGTAAACCTTTGTAAACCCTAACCAACTAAATCATCGTTCATGTGGAACAGGCAGTGATGGGACTGGGCTTTCCGTGACGTGTGGGGTTAAAATTAGGTAGGAAACAGAGAGGATTCAAAGCCCTGGAAAAATCTAACTGATGATTCATAATTTCCCCACCCCTTTCGTTCTGACATATGGGTTGTCTTCAGACACCCATCGTCCCAGCTCCGATGCTTTGTGATCCCCTCCACAGCCCCCACTCACCCGACCCATTCCAGCCTGCTCCCTCAATCCTAGTCCTGCATGGCAGGTGTCACGTCCTGTCCACCCCCCCACCCCCGCCCCGCCCCTGCAGTTTTTCTTCATTTCTGCCCTGTGTTGCAGGGGCTGGGAACAGCACCAAGAGAAACCTGGAGAGCCTCCTCTCCTACCCCGAGGACTTTGCCTGTGTCCACCAGGCCCTAAAGGCTTTCACATCCAAAGGCTTCACCACAGTCTCTCAGATCTTCCACAGCCCAGGTGAGCGCCCTGGGAAAGGGCAGCAGCTGCCCAGCAGGATTTTGGGAGGATTCTGAGGGGGACCCGACCCTGGGGAAAGAGGACAGAGGGGATGTTGGAGCATCAGGGATGGACAGCAGAGCACGTAAGGGCCTCAGCAGGAATGTCCTTTGGCTCCAGGAGCTGGATGGTTCATCTGGTGAGACCTTGGGCAAGTCATTTCCATTCCTCAGCTCTGGTTAGAATAAGAATGTCCTTCCTCATTCATTCATAGATAGAACCAGAGAGCTCAAGATAAACAATGTTTGTTAACGTGGGTCAGGGGAATCTTGAGACTTCCAGTTTTTTGTACTTTCATTGTTCTATGAATTTGTGGTCATTTACACATATTGCATTATTAAGTACGTAATAGATTAATAAGTTTCCGAAATGACCTGATACAGTTATTTTCAAATTTTCTTCCCCAGAGCCCTTGGGGTTCTCTGTTGAACTGCTTCAGGAGTCATGGTGGGAGTTGAGGGGGATCAGGGAGGCTGAGTGGGGTGCGGGGGTACGACTTCCTTTGGGAAGCAGATGGAACCAGGTGGGCTCTGAGCCCTCACCCAGCCTCAACCAGAGCCCTTCTAGCCCTGGGCTTCAGATATGACTGTTTCAGGACGGTTCTGCTCCTTAAAAAGGTTTGAAAGCTACAGATCTAGTCTGCCCCCTTTCTTTATTTTATTTATTTTTTAAGATTTTATTTATTTGTCAGAGAGAGAGTGCGCACAAGCAGGAGGACCAGCAGGCTGAGGGAGAAGCAGGCTCCCTGCTGAGCAAGGAGCCCGATGTGGGACTTGATCCCAGGAGCCTGGGACTGTGAACTGAGCCGAAGGTAGACACTTAACCAACTGAGCCACCCAGGCGTCCCTGCCCCCCTTCTTTAAAGGGAAAAATTTTTTCCTGTTTTTTTTTTTTAACTATAAAAGCAATATTCATTCATTGTAGAAAACAGAAAACGGATGCCTGGGTGGCTCAGTCGGTTAAGCGGCTGCCTTCAGCTCAAGTCATGATCCCAGGGTCCTGGGATCAAGTCCCACATCGGGCTCCTTGCTCCTCGGGGAGCCTGCTTCTTCCTCTGCCTGCTGGTCCTCCTGCTTGTGCACTCTCTGTCTCTGACAAATAAATAAATACAACCTTAAAAAAAAAAAAAAAGAAAAAAACCCCCAGAAAACACAGGGAAGCAAAAGAAGGAGAAGGAGAAGAAGAAGAAACAAAGGAAACTCACCAGCCCATTCTCTTAATAAAAAAACACCCTCTTTTAGAGATGGGAAAAATCTGTGTCGGAGGTGTTCAAGAAACACTGCATTTACTTATTTGTTCTAAATCACACCTAATCCTCTGTCTTGCTAGATTGGTAGAAAATACAACTGCACTCAATATTATCTGTGTAGTTCAGGAAAAATTTCTCTTTCAAACACTGTTTTCTTTAGTGGACTTGACCTTTGGAGAACAAAAGCCAGGACGTCTTGCCATCCACTTCCACTGAGGCTGAGAAGCAGAGTGGGTTCCCTGCTGAATTAAGGGAAGAAACAAGGGAAATCACTGGCAGATGGAAGTTAGTATCTCAGAGAGTTATTTAGCCAAGCCACAGATGCATGGCCAGGAAAGGAAGCCAGGGCCTGGGAGGGGTCCTGCCTTAAGTCCAGGGCTTGCCCTCTGGGGGCCTCAGTTGCCGTATCTGTCAGAGGAGTGGGCTGGACCCCAGCTCCAACCTGCTGTGCTTGCTGCAGCAAGCTGAAAGCAATAGGAAACACGCTTCCTCCCAAAGCCTACTCTTAGAAGGGAGAGGATGTTCGGGGGACTGATGCCTCCCTCTCTCCACCTGCCCCCTTCCCCCAGACCTGGTCATAAGGGACAGCTTTGTGAATGCCTCTCAGAGCCTGTATGACAGCAGCCCCAGAGTCCTGGGAAATGACAGTGATGTCAATACGGAGCTCATCAATGCCTGGGTGGCAGAGAAGACCAACCACAAGATCACACAGCTGCTGGAAAGTCTGCCCTCTGACACCCGCCTTGTCCTCCTCAACGCCGTCTACCTGAGTGGTAAGGGAGCCCTGGACCCGGTGGTCTTTCCATCCCGGGTCCTTTCTCTCCTCTGGGCTTCAAAGCCCACGCAACCCCGAGTTCCACAACTGGGTCCCACTGAGCCCACCCCACCCCTTGCCAATGCAGCTTTTCGTTCCTCTTCATCCTTTCTCACCTGCATGAGAGTAACCCTCCTTCCCGTCCCCGCTAGCCAAGTGGAAGACAACATTTGATCCGAAAAGAACCTCGATGGAGCCCTTTTACCTCAAGTCCTCTGTGATAAAAGCGTTGATGATGAACAGCAAGAAATACCCTGTGGCCCATTTCACTGACCCGACCTTGAAGGCCAAGGTATGTACTTGGCCCTTCCCACTCTTGTTTCAGAGCCTCTGGCGGGTCCTGATGTCTTTCCTGCTGTGGCCCCATCAATTTGGGGTATGCCCTTATGAATTCATCATTTCCACTCCTTCCATCTGTATTTCTACCCTATCTCTTCTGCTTCTCCCCTCTCTAGCTTGGCCGAGGCAGGCATTGTTTATTTTAGGCTGGAAAGCCGGATTCTAAAGTTTCTTCATCTCAACTGCGTCAAATGGCAAAAAGTGAGTCTGTTCATTGGTGTCTCTTTCCTGTCTAACCCACCAGGAGCTCCTGGTGGCTTAGTAAGTCCTGTGTGTATGTGTGTGCCCACGAACAGCATGTGTACATAGGTGTACACGTGTCTGGGTAGGTGTAGACATGTGTGCATGGATGTGGTAGGTGTAGACATGTATGCATGCATGTGGTAGGTGTAGACGTGTGTGCATGGATGTGGTAGGTGTAGACATGTATGCGTGCATGTGGTAGGTGTAGACGTGTGTGCATGGATGTGGTAGGTGTAGACGTGTATGCGTGCATGTGGTAGGTGTAGACGTGTGTGCATGGATGTGGTAGGTGTAGACATGTATGCGTGCATGTGGTAGGTGTAGACGTGTGTGCATGGATGTGGTAGGTGTAGACGTGTATGCGTGCATGTGGTAGGTGTAGACGTGTGTGCATGGATGTGGTAGGTGTAGACGTGTGTGCGTGTATGTGGTAGGTGTAGACCCGTGTGCGTGCATGTGGTAGGTGTAGACATGTGTGCATGGATTGTGGTAGGTGTAGACGTGTGTGCGTGCATGTGGTGGGTGTAGACGTGTGCGCATGGATGTGGTAGGTGTAGGCGTGTGTGCATGGATGTGGTAGGTGTAGACAGGTGTGCATGTGGTAAATGGCTTACCCATGTTCCTTCGCAGAAATTGAACAGTAGAATTTCAACGGATGGGGAGGGAGGGAAGATTGACTGTGGAGCCCAGAAGATTCTAATTATTTCTAGATATATCTAGATACTTCTGCCTTGTTAGGACAGCAAGACACAGATTTAGGAGATAGAAAACAATGGGAGAATACCCAGTGATTTAGTGCCAGGCTTGTTCAACCGTGGGAGGGAGATTTCCCTAACTTTTCCCTCTGCCTGGACCCTTTCTCACTCAGATTTTCACATAACTTGTTCTTTCTGTGCACCTGGGTGTCAGGTCAAAGGTCACCTTGATGGCGAGAACTTCCCCCTTCTTAAAATAGCTCCCTCCTCACCCTGAAACATTGCCCTGGTTGATTATATTCATGGTTCTTTTCATTATCAGAAATTAGGTTGTTTATTTGCTTATTTTATTACAATATTCTTTGTCTCCCTGAAATATTGTCTCTCCCCTCGGGAACAGAAACCTTACCTGCCTTGTTTCCTATCCCCAGGGCCTAGAACAATGCCACATATAATAAGTGCTCATTATAGGTTTGCTGAATAAATGAATGAAATCACTGGAGGGTGGTAAAGGGTGTAACCCATTTAGGGGTGTCCACGAAGGCTTCAGAGAAGAGGTTACCTCTGACCATTCTTAACCCTTCATGCACCTTTCCACCCACCCATCTATGCCTATCCAATATAGTTGACCACTCATAACTAACTAAACCAGATGGCGTGGGTAAGTTTAATATATTTGATTTTCTTTTTAAGCATGTCAGCTACCCATCAGAGCTGAATTACAACCTTGCTTGGCCATATCTTCCAAGCACCGAAAGGCCACTATGAAATAAAAATTAAATTCGAAGGGTAAATCAGCTTTCCACCAAAATCTTAATATCCTTCTCACATTTAATTATCCTACACCTTTTTGCTTCAAAGCATAAAACTAGTATGTCTGATTCTCTTAAAAATTATAAGCACTATTTTGAATAACAGACACACAGATTACCCTCAATTTACCCTGATGTTAATACTATGGAATTGCAGTGCCTGGGTGGCTCAGTCAGTTACTCGTCTGCCTTCAGCTTAGGTTGTGATCCCAGGATCCTGGGATTGAGCCCTGTGTTGGGTTCCCAGCTCAGCAGGGAGTCTGCCTCTCCCTCTCCCTCTGCCCCTCGCTCTGCTCACACTCTCGTGCTCTCTCTCTCTCTCAAAAAGGGAATAAAAAAAATACTACAGAGTTGGTTTACTTTGTCATACCCATACTTAATACTAAATCTTTCTGGGACTTAAGAGCATTTACCCAACTAAGGAGGTTAGATTTACCAACTCCAGTATGCTAGGGTTTACTGGCTGGAAAAGTCAAGACCACAACATGGTAATCTTTTGGTGAGAGATTCAAGGTCTGTACACAGGACCTATTGGCACTGTTGACATTTTGGGTTAGATAATTCTTTGTTAGGAGGATGATCCTGGGCATTGGGTAGGATTTAGCATCATCCCTGTCTTCTCTCCACTAGATACCAGCAGCCCTGTGAGTCCCCTCTCCTCCAGTTTGACAACCAAAATGTCTCTAGACATTGTCAAGTGCCCCCTGGGGGCAAATTCACCCGGGGTTGAGAACCCCTATATATTAGACCTATGGGTCCCATACTTGTGTCGTACTTTTGTCTGACCACCAGTTGGAAGTCCTTCTAATGGCAAGCTTGAAATGTAGGCTAGGATTGGCTTGTCCACAGTCTCAAATGCCATGCTGAGAGATTTATACTTAATCTTGTAGGCTGTAAAGAGCCAGCAAAAGTCTTTAAAAGGACCAGGGTGCCTGGCTGGCTTGGTTGGTAGACCACGTGACCCTTGATCTTGGCATTGTGGGTTTGAACTCCACATTGGGTGTAGAGATTACTTAAAAATAAAATCTTTTTTTTTAGGGGCGCCTGGGTGGCTCGGTCGTTAAGCATCTGCCTTCGGCTCCAGTCATGATCCCAGGGTCCTGGGATCGGGCCCCGCATCGGGCTCCCTGCTCCGTGGGAGGTCTGCTTCTCCCTCTCCCACTCCCCCTGCTTGTGTTCCCTCTCTTGCTGTGTCTCTCTCTGTCAAATAAACAAATAAAATCTTTAAAAAAATAAATAAATAAAATCTAAGATTTTATTTATTTATTTGAGAGAGAGAGAGCACACAAGTTGGGAGAAGGGCAGAGGGAGAGGGAGAAGCAGGCTGTCCGCTGAGCAGGGAGCCCGATGCAGGGCTCCATCCCAGGACCCTGGGATCATGACCTGAGCCAAAGGCAGACGCTCAACCGACTGAGCCACCCAGGTGCCCATGCATGTTACATATTTTATGCACAGCACACTGGAACGGGAAGGAACAGGGCTCAGAGAGATCAAATCACTTGCCTATATTCCATAGCTAGTCAGCCGTAGAGTCAGGGTGTAGTCCTCAGCCTGTGTGATCAGAAAGCCATACTTGTTCCTCTATATCTCACGTGCATGGAGTTAGTCCAGCACTGTTCACCCAGCCGGCATCCCCATTTTGTCACCAAGCTTGGGAGCCCAGGTCCAGCTGCGGCTTGTTGCAATGGCACGGATGGTGGCAGCGGACTGAGGTTAAGCCTTGGGACGTAGGGCGTGGGATCCAGGAGAGCTGGGGTAGGAAGACGGATAAGGTGCATCTCTTGTTCTCCAGGTGGGGCAGCTGCAGCTCTCCCACAACCTGAGCTTGGTGATCCTGGTGCCCCAGAGCACAAAACACCATCTCGAAGACCTGGAGAAGGCTCTCAACCCCACTGTCTTCAAGGCCATCATGAAGAAGCTGGAGATGAGCAAGTTCCAGCCCACCCTCCTGACGCTGCCCCGCATCAAAGTGAAGAGCAACCAGGACATGCTGACGATCATGGAGAAACTGAGTGAGCCCCTGGCAGCTCAGGATTGCTCCTAGGCCACTGGGTGGGGTGGGGGTGTCCTTAAAAGTGTGGTTTAGCATTCTCTAGAGTATTTTTTTTTTATAGGGTTATTGGAGCTTAGGTTTTTTTGTTTTTTTTTTTTAAGACTTTATTTATTTATTTGCCAGAGAGAGAGTTGAGAGAGAGAGAGCACAAGCAGGGGGAGCGGCAGGCAGAGGGAGAGGGAGAAGCAGGCTCCCCACTCAGCAGGGAGCCCGATGCGGGACTCGATCCCAGGACCCTGGGATCATGACCCGAGCCCAAGGCAGTCGCTTAACCAACTGAGCCACCCAGGCACCCCTCTCTGGAGTATTTTATATACCCATAATATCAGGTCATTCCTCAGTCCTGTGAGTTAGAGGGGCAGATGCTATTATCCCATTGGATCATTGAGGAAAGTGAGACTCGAAGTTTACCAGACTTACCCAAGGTCCCTTGAGCTAGTTAGAAGTGAGCAAGAACACCAACCCGGGTCTCCAGCTTGACTATTTCCACCGTGGTTCATTGTGACAAAGACACTAGGACAGGTGGCCAGGATGGGTCATAGACGCTCCTTCCCTGGGGACCTTTCATAACACTCAACCACCCCATGGATTATGCAAGAAGCTATCTGGATAATACAGTCTGGGCACTTCTGAGTTTGGAGGAGGCAACACTCTATTACCTAACCTTTGGCCTCACTTCCTGATCTTTGACCTCACGTCCAGATATACCACTTCATTTTCTGTTATAGAACTTGACACTCTAATGAGGTGAACTTGTTTCCTAGTATATGACATTACACCCTTGTATATGACCTCATTTGATAACACATGACCTCTTTCTGATGTATTACCTCACTTCTAAGGTCCTTGGAAACAAGGACATCATTTTTCAGGGTTTTTTTGGGGGTGGGGCAAGGCCTCTCACCTCTTCAGAGAAGGTGGTGGTTGGAGTGAAGATGGGCTCACTGATCGAGGATTCCATGAACTGTACCAGAAGGCACAATATATAATGTAACAAGCAAGAGAGGAGGACAAAGAGAATATTGGGACTTGGGACCAACCCAGAAAATTTAGGACAAATGTCTCCAGTAGCTGAGGCTTTCATGCTGGTCTTTCTTTTTCTTTTCTTTTCTTTTTTTTTTCTTTTAAGTAATCTCTACACCCAGTGTGGGGCTCGAACTCATGACCCTGAGATCAAGAGTCGCACGCTCCACTGACTGAGCCAGGCAGGCACCCCTCCTGCTGCTCTTTTGACTCTTTGTTTTTGTCTGGTTATGCTCTAGAATTCTTTGACTTTTTCTATGACCTCAACCTGTGCGGGCTGACCGAGGACATGGATCTTCAGGTTTCTGCGATGCAGCACCAGACCACGCTGGAGCTGACGGAGTCTGGGGTGGAGGCGGCAGCGGCCTCGGCCGTCTCCGTGGCCCGCAATTTGCTGCTCTTTGAAGTGCATCAGCCCTTCCTCTTCCTGCTCTGGGACCAGCGGCACAGGATCCCTGTCTTCATGGGGCGGGTGTATGACCCCCGGGTCTGAGACCCACAGGGCACCAGGCTAAGGCAAGCCATCCCCCTCAAGCCACGCTCTTCCGGTGGCAGCCCTGCCTGGACTTGCCCCCCAGCCACCTCCTGCCCCTGGGGCGCCCTGCTCTCCATGTGAAGGCCTCCCTCGGGGTCTGGTGAAGGGACCTACTTCTATCATCCCTTCCCTGTGGCTCCCCAAAGCACTTTTTACAGCTTCCTCTGGTTCATGTTCACCAGACTCTACAAATAAAACCCAGCAGACCATGACTTCCTCTCTTACTTACCTTTCCATTTTAGAGGACAAGGGCAACCATGACCCCTGTATCAGCTAGTATTGCTGTGTAACAAGTCACTCTAAATTTAGTGGCTTAAAATTTGTTATTTCATGTAAGTCTTGGGATTGGCTGAATGTTCTCTCTGATCTGGCTCGACCTGGCTGACTTTCCCTGGACTTGCTCATGCATCTGTAATAGTTGGGGGATGACTGATCTATAATGGCCTCAACTGCATATCTCCTGCATCCTTCCATCAGGCTACCCTGCAATGGCAGAGTTCCAAGAAAGGCCTCAGAATGGAGCTGTCTTTTTTTTTTTTTAAGATTTTATTTATCTATTTATTTATTTGACAGACAGAGAAAGAGAACAAGCAGGGGGAGAGGCAGGCAGAGGGAGAGGGAGATGCAGGCTCCCTGCCCAGTAGGGAGGCCTATGCCAGGCTCGATCCCAGGACCCCAGGATCATGACCCAAGCTGAAGGCAGACGCACAGCTGACTAAGCCCCCCAGATGCCTCAGAAAGGAGCAGTGTTTTCCACACCTTTGCTTGCATCAAGTGGATACCATTGTCCCAGCAGCCAGAGCAAGTCCCTTGGCTGGACCTAGAGTTAGAAGGGAAAGGCACTACAAAGTTACAGATGAGGTCATTAATCGGGGGCTATTTGTGCCCTGCATTTTTTTTTTTTTTTTTTTAGAGAGAAAGCTCGTGCACTTGCATGCACGCATGCATGTGAGTTGGGGAGGGGCAGGGGCAGAAGGAGAGAGGATTTTTTTTTAAAGCATTTTTTTAAGATTTTATTTATTCATTTGAGATACAGAGCGAGAGAGAGAGAGCATGAGGAGGGGGAGAGGCAGAGGGAGAGGGAGAAGCAGGCTCCTTGCTGAGCCAGGAGCCCAATGTGGGGCTTGATTCCAGGACCCTGGGATCATGACCTGAGCTGAAGGCAGACGGTTAACCATCTGGGCCACCCAGGCGCCCCAGGAGAGAATCTTAAGCTGTCTCCATGCCCAGCACGGAGCCTGATGCAGGGCTCAGTCTCACCACCCTGGGATCATGATCTGAGCCAAAACCGAAAGTCAGACGCTTAACTGAGCAACGCAGGCGCCCTGGGGCCCTGCATTTATCGCAGTCCCCCGTGTCCCTTATCTGCAACAACTATGACAGTAAGCAGTCATTAACGTTGTTGGGAACTTACTTGGGCAGCCTGCCACGAGCCTTGCAGACCTTTGCTCCTCACTACAACGTCATATGGAAAACTCGGCAAGGGGAAGTCTTGCTCAAAATCATGCAGTTGGGAAATGGCAGAACTGGGATGTGAAAGCGTGGCTTTGACTCTGAAGTTCAGAGCCACTCTCTTCTATCTCTCTGCCCTTCTGTCTGGAAAACCTGACTTTTCTTAAATATCTAACTAATTTGTTCACTGAGTGCCTAGGATTGCGTCAGGCACGATGCTAAGCAGCCAAAGTGTGAAGATGACTTAACCCTCCTGCCTGCCTTCAAAACCTCCAGCTTGATGGCACAAATGGGAAGATAGATTTTATTTTTTTAGTATTTTTTTGAAGTTGTATTTGTTTTAGTAATCTCTGCACCCAACATGGAGCTCGAACACACAATCTTGAGACCAACAGTGGCACACTCTTCCCATGGAGCCAGCCAGGCGCCCCCCGAGTGTTCTTTTCAGCTCTGAAGATGTCTCAGTGTGTTCTTCTCATTTCTAGCTTTTGCCCTTCGACTCGCCAATGGTCCCTCCAACTTTTAGCCCTTCTACCTCCCTCTCTCCCTTTCTCCCCCTTCTCATTCCATTTTGATCTCGGTCCCCTGTCCCCATTCCCCTGCCGACTGTGTCTGCACCAGCCCTCTTCCCCTCCTGCTGTTACAGTGTTGTGAAGCCAAGCATGAGACCCAATTTCTGGATGTCGCCTGCTCCACAGAGCTTCATCAGGCATGTGCCCTACAGGAAGATCTGATGTCCCCGCAGGGTCTTAACTTGGCTCAAGCTAGCCCTGCCTGAGCTGTTTCTGGAGGGTGTGTGATTTCCTAAGACCATCAGAGCCACCAGAATGTGTGCTCACATCGCTGCTGCCTCCTGCTAGGGACTCAAGCTGCCTGCAGAATCTGGCTTCCCCATCCTCCTCTCAAGGAATACCCTGGTGACAAGGAGAAACTGAGGCACAGGCAGGGTGGTAGTGCAAAAACTCAGCTAGCTGGGGACTGCTGCCAGGCTCACCCGCTCTTACCCTTCAGGCTGGTTCCCCTCGCTATGGCCCGGGGCGGAATGTAGCGTGAGGTGATTTGTATGTGAGGGGTTGTTGAAAGTAAAGGCACCTCCTAAATTCAGGAAGATTCCTCCCTCCTTGGGGCGATCTTGACTTGAAGATGGTGCTTAGGAGCGCCTGGGTGGCTCAGTCGTTAAGCGTCTGCCTTCAGCTCAGGTCATGATCCCAGGGTCCTGGGATCGAGCCCCACATCGGGCTCCCTGCTCTGCGGGAAGCCTGCTTCTCCCTCTCTCACTCCCCCTGCTTGTGTTCCCTCTCTCGCTGTGTCTCTCTCTGTCAAATAAATAAATAAAATCTTAAAAAAAAGAAGAAGAAGATGGGGCTCAGTGCCCACCTGAGATACGGACAAGCAGAGTCGGGAGTTGGAAAGTGATTCTGACCCACGGGCACAGTCCTTTGCCAATTTTTTGGACCTTCCCCACCATGCTGAGAGCCAGGTATTATTCCTGTTTGTGAGATAAGGAAGCTAAAACTCAGAAAGATTAAGTAACTATCCAAAGGTCAGTCAGCTGTTAATTGATCCCACGTTCTCTGAATTAAAATTCAGTAGGTAGCTTATTTGACCAGGCTTCCTTCTTTTCTTCCCAAACTAGACTTTAAATCAGATTTCTTTTCTTTTTTTTAAAAGATTTTTAAAATTTTTAAGTAATCTCTATATCCAACGTGGGGCTCGAACCACAACCCTCAAGGTCAAGAGTCACAAGTTCTATCAACCGAGCCAGCCAGGTGCCCCCGATCTATATTTTCTTTTCCTTTTTAAAAAAAGATTCATTTATTTATTTTATTTTATTTATTTGTTTTTTAAATTTTATTTATTTATTTGACAGAGAGAGAGAGAGTGAGAGAGGGAACACAAGCAGGGGGAGTGGGGGAGGGAGAAGCAGGCTTCCCGCTGAACAGGGAGACCGACGCGGGGCTTGATCCCAGGACCCTGGGATCATGACCTGAGCCGAATGAAGGCAGACGCTTAATGACTGAGCCACCCAGGCACACCTCATTTATTTATTTTAGAGATAAAAAGCATGTGCGCGCGTACACACACACACACACACACACACACACGCACGCGTGCGCAGGTGGGGGAGGGGCAGAGGGAAAGAACCTCAAGCAGACTCCCCACTGAATGCAGAGCCCGATGCGGGGCTCAATCCCACGACCCATGAGATCATGACCTGAGCCAAAACCAAGAGTCCAACGCTCTACCGACTGAGCCACCCAGGCACCCCCTGATCTGTATTTTCTCATGCTCTGCACCATGTGTCCCCATGAAACCTATTAAAGTGCCTTACCCTAAAACACACACACACACACACACAAATAAACAAAAGAAACAACTGAATGATTGAATGAATGAATCCCCACATCCTGGTAGCAAGAAAAGAGTAGAAAATCTAAATTTGGAAGTGGAGAGAATTGAAATATTTCTGTTCTGAGGCTTTTCTTATAAAAGAGCATGTGTCAGTTTTTTAAGGTTTGTTTATTTTTTTTTCAAAGATGTTATTTATTTGACACAGAGAGAGACCACAAGCGGGGGTAGCAGCAGAGGGAGAGAGTGAAGCAGACTCCCCACCCAGCAGGGAGCCCCATGCGGGGTTTGATCCCAGGATCCTGGGATCATGACCCAAGCCAAAGGCAGACGCTTAACCACCTGAGCCACCCACGTGCCCCAAGGTTTTGTTTGTTTAAAATGATACACATTTATAAGTCATTGAGTCAGTGTGGGCCCCACAGTTTTAAGGTGGCCTTGGTTATGTGCCTACTGCAGTCAGCTGGGGACTTAGCTGGAAGGTCCGATGACGCTTAGCTTTGCCGAGCTCAGAGAGGCTCTTTCACGTGTCTTGAATCTTGGCTGAGATGGATCCGCTGACGAGCTCTGCTCCATGAGGACTCTCATCTATCAGGAGGCTAGTCTGCACTTACTCGTGGAGGCTGTAGGGGTCTAAGCGTGTGAGCAGAGGCACGCAAGTTCTCTTGAGTCGGAAGCTAGGAAGTAATACAACATCACACCTGCCTCGTTGGAGATCAGCTCAGAATCAAAGTGTAGGGAAAAAGTCTCCACTTCCTGGAAGACCTGCAAAGTCACTTTGCGAAGACCATGGATATAAGAAAGCATGAATCACTGTGGCCGTTTTCCCAATCTACAGTAGTGGTCTTACATATTTGGAGAGAAACTATTAGCAACTTTCCCAAGCAACTTGCTGCTCTGAGATTTTCCTTAAAGAATCAAGGACTTTTTGTCTACATCATTATAATTTCAGAAATGATTTATTATGTGAAGTTTCAAGGTGCTTACATATAGTTTTCCTCTTGCTGCCCTCAGTATGGCATAGTCAACAAGTTCTGGCCCCTGCACTTACACATGTCACTTGAGAAAGACAGAAGGTCATAAACACATAGTCATACACACATTTGGGACCCCCACGCTCACCCTGCCCTGCTGGCCTATTGTATAGACAAAGTTCTGCATGTCAGCCCACCTAGTTCCAAAGACCTGCTTCTTTTCCCAATTACACAATCCTCCTCCACACATGGGTTTGATTGAAGACAGTCTAAGAAAGGACCCTGAAAGTGTGATTAGGGTTTCATTGCAGTTAGCCCTTGTCACCACATGGTGGCGTTGTTGAAACTTTGTCCTGCGTAGCCTTTTGGACACGGATTTCCTGCGAGGTGCCAGATGCTTTCACAGCCAACGTGGGGATTTATACTTCCATTGTAAA